AAAAACCATCAAATTGCATATTTTTTTAATAAAAAAGGGTTTTATTTTTCTTTCTAGTGTTTTATCTTATTAGTTTCCAATATATTTCTTATAGAAATAATGAATCCATCCTTATAATACAATTAAAAAAAAATATCCTACATCTAATTTTAGACATTTTTGTCATGTAACATTTTTGTATGGTGAAATATGGCTAAAAAGTATGTCAATTTATCATTATATTTTTTACTGTGAATTGTGTGATCATGAAATGATTTTTACAAGATACAAGATACAAGATAGCTTTATTGTCAAATTAAAATTTGAAATTGGTTTTTCTCATGGCAACAAAATATAAACATGACAACAATAAAACACATATGTATACTCATTGATATTATGATATAAATGTAAAAATATTTAATTTTAAACAATAAAATCTTTAGTTATAGCTTCCTAAAAAATATTGCTTGGAGCATGTCTATTTACTGTGAAATTGCTCATATATATATATATATATATATATATATTCTAGATTAGAGTATTATATATAAACGGTATCTTTATTTTTAAACATAAAATTATTCAGGTTGCAGCCGAAGCTGAATTGCAGAAATAATTTAAAAGTTACAACGAAATTACAACATCAGAGGGGAGGGGGGGGGGAGAAAAAATCATTACAGTTTAAAATACAAAAAAAAAACCTGAATTGCAAAACCCCAAAATATCCAACTATCATCATAAAAAAATTTGCCTTTTTGCACCAATTAATTACCAATTAGTTTATTTATATAAATATATTATATTTACTTACTGAATTATTAAAGTTAATAGGCAAAACATGGGCTGTAAAAATTGACCAAATACCTTGATGGACAAAAGGATGCACACATACATGTATTGGTCATGATGTGATGTCATCATGTCGCATGTTTTTGTCAAATAAAATTTGATGTCTAGACAGGGCTTAAGGATTCTTATGAAAACTAATGAGAAAATGGATGACCACTAATGAGATTTTGTATAACAGACACAGATGACTTTATTCACATTGTACTTGCTTATTTTACCAAATTAACAAAGACTACAAGGAATTTTACCTTCTATCGTTTCCTACAACATCAAAGTATCCAATACTAGGTGAACTTGTGGGGTCGTATTTCCCATGCGAGACTTGACGAGTATATGCAATTAATTTTAATTTATCCTCGTAAGATAGGTGAATTGCTTTGCTGCCTTCTTTATCTACAAAAAAAAATGCCAATATAAATACGGTATAGACAGTATGCACTGCTGTAATAAATTACCATTCCTTTAATAAGTGTAAAGTATTGAATACACAGATACTAATTTGACCATCATCATAAATTACTGGTAATTCTAGAAAATCAATACCATGTAGAAGCCACGAGATATGTTACATTTTATTCAATTTCCGGGTAAACTTGTTACAAAGAAACACTCTAGCTGAAAAGTACCCTGGGGATTGCCAGAAGTGTAAGATGCAATCAGAGTGGTTCTCCAATACTGCACAAAATCAAACCACTACAAATACAATGACAAAAAAAAAACTTAGTTAAAAAAGAATAGGTTAAAATTTTACCAATATTTGAAACTACAGTATATCTATTGTAATATAATACAAAAGTCAGTAACTCTAGAGTACTTATTGTTTCTGAATATTGTGATATTTAGAGAGACCAGACTATGGTTGGATTTTACACCAACTGGTTCAATTTTTTAGTGCTGCCTTAAGGCCAAAAAAAAAGATGTTTGTGTTGGCCATGTTTTGGGAAAAATCCCCCAACCCCCCTAAAAAAAACAAAACAGGTTGGTTTTGTAGGCTTTTTTTAACCAAAGTGTTTATGCCTAAAAAAACAGAAAATATTCAAAAATATATCAGTGTCACATCACCTACTGTAAAGAAAGATGGGCCTATTCCAGCCTTTTTAGCTCATTGTAATCAAATTTAAAAAAAAATGAATACATAAAATGTCGAACCTCAATTTCATACATTTTTGGTCGGTCGGGTGTTGACAACACAATCATCTCTTTATTTGGCCTAATTTAAGACAAAATCTTATAGATAAATATTTGTAATTACCAAATAATATTATAGAATGTGAACGTTTTGCCAGATGGAATAGCACCATATTTCTCAAGCTTGTCCTGACTGAAATATTACAAACTAATTACTATTACGATAGCAGCAACAACCTGCCCTGAAAATAGGTTGACGACCACTATTAAACATCTGCAGCAAAAATCTAATTTTGGAATGATATTTACCTGTATAAAATCACATCTTTTTATACTGTATCGCCATGGTACAAACTAGGAATAGCTCAGCAAAAAATAATACATATCTTATATTGATTATAATCTAGATAAAACTAAATATTATGCACAAATCTATATTTAAAACTTTGGATTAAGGCCTGATTCTGATGGTAGCATAACAATATGGCATAACAAAGATAATAAGTGGCCTTGATTGACATAGATAAGACTATAATCCAGCAACTGCTTCAGGGCAGTCAAACACCATCAATAGACTGGCAGTCTGTCCATTGAGGAATAACTGTCAACCTGAAAGCATGGCGGTACACCTTCATGAATTAATTAAGCCAGTGGTGGTATTCCATCAGTGCCTGACATTCTATGACAAGGAGGCCAACGTTCCCTAATTGTGGGAACCTCAGTCTCACTTCACTAGTGCTTTCACTGCTAAAACATGGCTATAAGAAAAGGCCAAGAATATATTGCAGGTTTCAATTTTCCATGAATTTCTGGGAGATTTGGCTCTTGAAAATAAAAGAAAACGGCCCAAAAACAAGATGAAGGATATTAATAGAATATATTTAAATTATTAGATTACTGTAGTACAACATTTTAATTTAACCAAAACATTCTTCCCTAGCGATACATTAACCGAGACATTTTGTTTCACCTAAACATTCTTTGTATTTCCTGATGTTATCATCCTTTATAATGTTCAACTTGAAAATCTAATTTAATAGTTTATATATCATAATTATGTTTTTAATATCTTTCTTTATCAAGTGTCAAATATTTCATTGTCAACATGACAATCATAAAAATCTTATCTTATTTAAAGAATGGAATCATATCTAATGTAATTTCAAGTAATATTCATATACAGAGCCTGAATGATCACCAACTATTAACATTAAAGAAAAAAATACATAGGATAGGCAAGATTAAAGATTTAAACAGTACAAAAATAAAAAATCTAACCAAATAATATGTTGATTATGATTACCTTGATGGTTATCGGAGTGTGTTTGTGATGCTGTTAGTCGTCACCATTGCGCTGCAATACAATACACTACCAGGAGCGTTATAATTATATTCTTAATGGATGGAAATGGATGCAGCATAATTTGGACTAAACCATTTTAGAAATAGGTAGATTAGTTGACCTATTCAAAATGTGGTCAATTCTTTTAACATTTCTAAACTTATTTCTCCATGATTAACACATTGACTGCCAAACCTTATTTTTTGGTTCCTTCCTGTGTGCCAGAACAAGTCAAACATATAATTTTTCGAAATTCTATCTAGTCATATACCATCAAAATGGTGTGTCTAATAAATTGGCAGGAAAATATTAGGGGACGAGTAAACTAGTCGCCGGCACCGATACAGCATTTTTTATATTCTCTGCCGAGTGCGAGTTTTCTCGTCCCATTTTTGTATGGGTTGGTATATGATCAGAGGGCCACCCCACTCGTGCAATCGAGTGTACTGCCGGCAAGCAAACACAACAAACGTATATCCATTATTTGTACATTATCGCCTAGGTGTATCTTCCCTGAATTACAAGATGTTAAGTCTGTGGTTCTACAATGTATAACAAAGAAGTAATAAAGGCTAGAATGTTACCCTGATTGAGACGAGTATTATAGTTGTCCGTAGCACCCTCAGCAACAAAATGTGCCACTGTTAAGAGAGTGATCCAAAGAATTTAATACTGGTACCACATGTATTGCGAGTTTTCACGGGCAGTGGCGTATCTAGGGGGTGCATGGGGGCTGCACGCACTTCCAAAAAATTACTCACGTTCCCCCAGTCGCCCCCAAAAAAATCACTTGCAAGTAGTTAAAAATCACCTAAAATACCTTATTTTGCGGATTAGCGCCCTAACTGTTCATCAAGCCCACCACCACCCACTTCACCTTAGCGCCCCCCCATCAGCACCCCCCATTTCAAGACTTCTAGATACGCTAGCGAGCCGTCCAGCCATCTTTTGGACAGCCAACAATTATTTAGGACGGCCACTTTTACCATGACGGTTTGGCCAATCAGCTTGGCCTAGCCTAATTGGGCCTGGTCTACCTTTACCAGATTCTATATTCTTCAAATATGAATGTTACATTAAACTAAAGCTCAACCATATTATAAAAACAACTTTTATTGATTGAATACGTTGTTTTCATACCAATATTTGGTGGGGATTCCCTAATTGTAAGGCTTAACCATTGTCTACCCGGTGAAAATTTCACTTACAACATGCGTCGTGTTAAAAACATTTCTGGTTCTGAATTGGACAATTGATTGATTGATAATACTGTACATTGACAGAAAATCCGAGCACGATTTTCTAAAGTGTGTATTTCATTCAGTACACAGAGTGGCCACTACCAGATTCACTGAGGTAATCTGCTCTTAATATGACATAGTCCTTCATCTTAATATGATATTGCTGAGCCAGTGTTAATCCTTCATAAAAGTGTAATAATCCTGAGCTTCCAATACAGTACAATTAGATGTGACGGATAGCCTTCATTATATTCTGATACAGTACATGAAACGATAACACAAATGCAATGGGACCTTGTCACGTTAATAAATTCATGTTATTACTGAGGCATTCAGCAAACATTGATTCTACAACATATGTTTCCATTGGGAAATACATAATAATACTACCAGTAAATTAATGTCATGCTACTATTTTATAAACCAGGCTCTGGAGAAAAAAAAAACTCTATTGATATGTTGTAGGCCAGGCCTATACAACTGATTGTACCAATACAGTACACAAAAAGCGTGTTTGATGAATAACTTGGGAATGGTTATAATGTGATAGATTTCTGATTTATTTAAAAATTGGAAGGAAAAGATGGAAAAAAGGGTGGTTACGCCCCTTTTTTTAAATATCATACAGTAGGTCTACCGTCTAATCTTTGTTAGGCCTAGCACATCTTTCTCATTGATTAGCTACATTACTTGCGTTAAATCATCATGTCATGATGCTTAAAATTTATTATCGTGGAAACAATGTTTTTGATCGGTTTATTTTTTTTTATTCCCATGATATAAAGATAGAATACATTTTTATGACGTTTTGTTTGTTTTCATGCTATAGTCGTTATATAATTTAACAACAGAAACAATATAAAAAATGACAAACACAAAAAAATACAAATATAAATTACTCTAGTTCTGTAGAAAGAACTAGGTATGATATGGATAAACAGATTTTTTATATTGTTTCTGTAGGTAAATTATAATAATGAATATAAGTTTATTCCCATGATATAAAATAAATTTTTATGATGTTTTTTCTATTTTCATGCTAGTCATTATAATTTATATACGGTAATTTAATGACAGAAACAATATAAACTAGATTTGAACTCGTCACTGAGGACGAGTTAGGTGATCCGCCGTACTTTGACCCTCATGAAGCACGCACGGTTCTGATTGAAAAGTAAGACTAATGATTGTTGAAATTATCATGTTGATCGGTTGAAGTAATCTTGAGATATCGTGGTCACAAAATTGGGGAGAAAGAAAGAAGAAAAAGATTAAAGAAAGAAAGATTCTGACAATAACAAGAGGTGATCCGCTAACGTTAGCGGATCACCAAAAAACGTTTATAGTCAGGGGGACGAGTTTGTTAGGATGCAAGTTTGTTAGGGGGAAAGTTTGTTAAGGGGCGAGTTTGTAGAGGGTGCATTTGTCAAAGAGGTTGTTTGTAGGGGGCGAGAGATTGAAAGGGGCATGTTTGCTAGGCTATGGGGGCGAGTTGACTGGAATCCGTTGAGACATTACAACAATTTATGAAGTGACATAACTTACAGTAGTGTGAGTGAATAGCTTGATGCCTATGGTAAGTATAAAATAACTTAGCTAATATTTAATTAAAAAAATTCACCAAAATTCGTCAAATATCTGAAGTTTAGCTCCCACGTCCCCCCCTCTTCCATTCTGAGCCAGTTCTCCAGCCCAGCTTAAATGAGCGCTCCGCTCGCATAGCCAAGATGTGTATAAGAGACCCACAGCCACCCCCCCCCCCCACCCCACTTTCGTCGGCAGATCCTGGCACCATCACTGCCTAGGCTAGGCCTAATCATTCATACGGGGAAGCCTCACACACATGGGCAAGGGCTAGGCCTAGCTAGCCTAGGCCTAGGATGCGAATCAGGGTACATACTGCCCGCGTGAACCCCGCCTGAACTATGGTAGTAGTCTCGCCTACGTCGCCTAGCTAACGCCGGCACAGAGTACATAAACTCACCTTTGTAAAACTGCAAACATATTTCGTAAATTTCTTCTAAAGGGAACCCCCATTCCACTTCTGGGTCTACTTCTGTCTTTTCATGACTGACATTAGTTTTATCTTCAGTTTTAAGAGTGAGACTGTCATCTGACGCGTTCGATATGTCCATGGTGAATAAAGTAAAGTGGCCACGTATTCACCACGACGCAGTCTCAGTAGAGAGCCAATCGATGGGGGTTTTTTTCGTGACCTACATTCTAGTTCCTAGGTGGGACCTCTCCCCGAGTTTTTAATTGACATATTATAGTTAATATATATTTTTTAAACTTTTTCCATGTGCTGTAGCATGTAAGTTACATTTCGACAGTTGAAAAAATGTAATGGAAAGGGTAATTGAGGATAAACTTTTTAAAATATTAACTACAAAATGTAATGAAATTAAATTATGCAAATATATAAGAATAATTAATAATGATAATATTGTACAAAGACAATCATTTTAAAAATGGTAAAAAGACAAATGCAAGCAAAACAAATTATTAATTAAAAAGCCAAAATAAATACATTGTTTTACATTGTTTATTCTTAGCCGATTCCGACCCTCTTAACGTTATTGATTTAGTGTCAGTAGTAGTGGTAATAATAAGTACATAAACAAATTTTATTACACACCTTCTGCACTATTCAGGATATTTCGGCTCTACGTAACAACATGAATGTATTGTCAAAATAATACACATTTTCAATTAGGCATAATGGGTCTATTAATTAATATTAGGCCTATTTAACAATGTTTCATTTACAAAATATAACTAATTTAATAAAAAATGTTAATTGCGCTAATGTATCAAACATGAGATACAGACAACAGGCTCGCGAGGCCAATAGGAACACGTAACCCCAACCCCAATCAAGGCCGTAGTCACGTGGTGCTCCTAAATAACTGTCGATTGATTGAATCCCGTGGCGTCGTAATGAAGGGGCCGGGTGGAACCTGTCTCTTATACACATCTAGATGTGTATAAGAGACAGCCTTTCATTCTAAGGCGCTATAACTGATTTAAAAAAAGGCTTGATATAAAGCATATTTTAATTTTGACGCACGCGAACGCTCGCGTTATTACGCGCGCACAAAAGTATAATGTACATAACATTTAACCATGACCTGAAGTTTATGCCCAC